AGCCTGGACACTTGTGCTCGATTACTAAGCTAAAATACAGTCAAGACCATGGACACTGCTGATGTGGATCTATTGATGAATAAATAAAGATTACTACCATGATATGTATAGCATGAGTGTCTAAGGTGTGCAAGCACCTGTTCATAAGACACAAAAATGATTTGACCAGGAAATATAAGAAATATGATGATACTTATTGATGTAAGTTACCAGTCAGCATCTGGCTCTGATGTGTCTTTTGAGTCACTGCTGTCTGAGAACTCCCACACAACTAACCCTGCATGATCCAGCCTGATATTTTCATCAACACTAAGTTCAGGCTCATCATTACAAGCAAAGTCCTTGAGCTAATTCAAATGCTCGATACCTATGTCAGAAATATATATTTTGGGTTGGCATGCCTTAAAATGGATTGAAAGGCCTCAATTTGCTGGCGGCATTACGACTGACTTGCAAGAACACCCGAAATTGCCATAAGCCGGTTGGCAGTGACCCATTTGGTCTTGCGTCTGCCTTCCAAGGCAGTGCTAAAGTGCCAAGACCCCATGCCTTACAAGGCATTAAAAGACAGTTCCAAGCGCGAAGATATCTTCCAATAATATTTTATTATTTCAACCAAATTTCGACATATAATGCTAGTTTCAATCACACCAATAAAATTCCAATGATATAAACTGAATTGAAACTACTATGATTAAATTGCATAAAACACTGAATTACAAAATGTACAGATTTCGATGGCGTCACAACTCATCTACCAGAGCTCCTGACGACACCTGATTTCTGTTTGTCTTGAGAGTGCTGCGTGTGGCTGTCGCTGGTTGCAGGAGAGGAATAGCTGAGTGGCGGGAGAGGCAGCAATAGAATCGGTGCACGAGGGTGCTAGATGCATTTCAGAAGGAGGACTAATGGGTGTTGTGGCCTCGAACAAGGTCAGTGTTTCGCTCCGAAGTGAGTCAAAGCAGGTAGAGAGTGGAGGCGCTTGCGCACATGATGGGATGAGTTGGTGGTGCCGCTGAGGAGGGAGTCCAAGTCTGAGGGAACGACAGCGTCGCACGAAATGTTTCAAACACGTTAGCACTCGATATAGATTGGACTTGTGACAGCAAACATACCTGTAGTCAACCATATATCTCATTATTACAGTCGTAATAGCCGTATACCCCAAGGCGAAGTGCTGACGGTGGGAGTCTCAATGTCAGAGGCAAGATAATAATCTTCGAAAAAAAAACCATACCTGCGCTGCCGTTGCTGATCCCATACAAGCAGAGTTGGTTTTTAATGCTGGAGAACCCCACTCGTCTGAAGTGGTTTGCTTGTCTGATTTGTGTTCATACCAGCACGAGGTCACAATGGAACCATCCAACATCGTGTCCGACGTGGTGACAAATAATGGTAATGGTCCAGGTGAGAGTTAATACGAGAGCTAATAAGTTGTGGTTGGATTTCAAGAGCCAAAGTCAAGTTGGCATGACTGGGAATGTAATTAGCTTACTCAGCTGTTTGATTATGTGTACTTCTGACCTAATTTAGCAATGATTGTGACATTGCCGACGGCGAGACTGAATGTTCGAAAAGGTCCAATGATTATTATGATTCACAATTCAAATCAAAAGGCACAACGGCAAACAACGAATATAATTGCAGAGACAATTCAAACGACGAGAAACTTCACTAATAGTAAAGAAGATATCTGAAAATGCGTGTGATAAGTGAGTGCAGAGTAATATTCAGACAAATAGCGCGTGATATATCACTTCTTTCGGCCAGACCTGCGAACCTCAGTGCCTGATTCATCTGCCTTGGCTTTGGTTTAGGTTTCAGGGGGACAGCCCCAACCACATCAGGCTCTACAAGGGGAGGACCACCTGCCAAGGTAAGGTCTTGCATTGCTGAAGAGATGGTGTCAGATGGTGCCGCGATGATAGGAGCAGCCGAGGGCAAAGTAACAGGGGCAGTCACAGGAACAGGTGGAAATGCAACAGCAGGAGCATAATATGCTGGCAGTGCGACAGAGGCAGATGGCGGGCGTGTGACAGAGGCAGAGGGTGGGTCCACGATGGACTCAGAACACTGAGTAACAGGCGCAACGACAGGATCAAATTGAAAAGCTGGCCCGTTACCTCCCTCTTCCATGGCACGCTCAAGTTCCTCTTCCCAACTGTTGTGGGAAGTGCCTGCATCTGTCGTGTCTGGACCGACATGTGAGGATGAGGTTTCAGGGAAGAGGGCATTGTTGAAAAAGGTGAGGATGTCTCGCGCCCAGGCGCCTCCGGTCATTAGACGTTGGCAATAGTAGTTATGATATTGGTGGTACAGGATATTGCTTTTTTCACCCTTCGCGTACAAATCCTTGTCGCCCGAAAGAACAAATATTGCCTGCCAGTGGCACAAACATAATCAGTACACACTCAGAGATACGATATTTGACGAAGACTTACAACAACAGCGGCAGCAGCAATTATACCTGGAGTGGTATTCCGTAATTGCCAAAGTTTGGCTTTAGTATGGGGGCTGGAGCGTAGGTGGCAGAAAGGGAGGATTTCCCAAAAAGCGCTACTTTTAAGACCTAATAACTAGATGATCAAGACCGCGCACATGTACATACTAATAAAAACAATGCACCCGAACAAGCTTTGCTGTTTTGAGAAATTCGTCTTTGTTGGGACGCTCTGGATGAAGAAAGAGTACGGTGAAGGTGAGGAATCTTGACTGTGGGTGAAAACACTAAAAGTAAGGGGGCTCTACAGCAAGACCTGGATACGAGAATACAACTCGACCCAAAGGACAGCTACTGAGAGAAGTTCCTCGCGAATAAGGTGGAGGGAAACTCTGTCAACTAGACAGGCGCTGGTAGGCGTGAGAAGATAACGCGCGTAAGCGATATGAAGGTGCACGTGAGCAATGCGAGGGGCGCGCGCGTATGCGGAAGTGCACTTATGAGTGATAAGGGATGTGGTTTCAAGTATAGTAGAGGCGCGAGCTGTAGCAGATGGAGAAGTATAATCAGATTTCTAGTACTAAGGTGCACTATACAACTTGCAGTATACTGAGATAAATGGGGGGAAAAGTAGTAACCGAAGTAAAAAGAACTTCCCTCTATTTAAGAAGGGAGATAGCGCTATGCGGCGCTTCCGAGCGCGGTACCGAACCGAGTAACCATATCAACTCTAAATATAATCTAAAGTCTAAGATAGACTTTCTGTATGTAAGCGTGGGGATCGGACCGAGTGCACGTCAATTCAGTGAAAGAGATAAGAATAATGCACCAGTAAATCAGTGAGGACATAGGACAGATGGACGGACGGGTAGGCGCGAGAAGACCTAAGGGGAGGCGCACGGAAGCGCGCGAGTGCGTATAAGGCGCGTGAATGAGGCGCATACATAGGGCGCGCGCGCGGGAGCGCATATGACTGATCCTTCGGATAAGAGCTGGAATATGTAAGGAATATGTGGTTCATGGGGCCATATGTCCGGCATTGAGAGGCGCGAGTCTCTACAATGGGAGCAAACTTTGTGTATTCACCATGGGGATTCACAAGCATAGTATGGCATTCTGGCTGAGTATCGCGAGGGTAGCCTTGAACAAAAAATTCGGGATTCAACCCAAATATAGCACCTGCACAAGACTTGACGTCTGACACCATTTCCAAGCGAATGCCACTGACGCCCTTCGCAAACTACCACAATTGGAGTCAGTTGAAGTCAGCCTAACTAAGCTGAGAGATTACTTACATGCGGTGCAAAGTTCTTGTAGCCCATCAACTCATGATCGACTTCTGGGATAAATTTAAATAGCTCTGCCTTTACGCCATCCTCTATTGACTGTGGCGACAGCCAGCACTCGCTGCCAAAGAGTTCGATGTTGGGAGGCACACGTAAGGGAAAAATTTCCGCATTGATCCATAGACAATGCATCATGGAATATTTGCGCCTGTGAGCCCATATAGTATCTTCTTTGGCAGAGAGTGCAAGATCCTTGGCAGTCAAGTTCTTCCGCTTTCGTCCTTTGGCTGTAGAAGCCTCGAGAAGTGCATTCCATTTCAGTAGTTCTCGACATTTGCCACGCATATTCAGTAGCAGGTTCTGTGCAATTTCAAGCGCCTGGATGTATGTGAGTAGTGCAAAACGACAACATTAACAAGAATAAGACACACCTGGCGGACTTCCTGAACAGTTGCACCGTCTCTGGTAGGTGCAATAGCAGTGCGTACCTGCACGAGATCTTCATCGGAGTCATCAGAGGAATCAGAATCCGTCAAGTCCTGTGAACTTTCGAAGTCTGAATTATCTTCAGCTTGAGCTCGCCGTGGCTGAGGCATGATTAAGAGGGAGGTGATGAGATGCAACTTGGCCCGAGGTCTTCAAATTTCCCATGAGACATTTATATAAATTTTGATTCAGACACTTACCTGCTGCGCTCTCGCACACAGTATACAAACACGTACTATTAGTAACTTACCTCCGTGAGTCCTGACCGGACACGTCTTATCACTGGCAGGAGTATTACGCACAACGTAATTGATCGTCAGGTGAGGTCCAGGTGCTGTCTGAACCGATCTCAAATTGGGTGCCTGGCAGATTCAGACATAATTATTATTATTAATACGTCACCATCACTGAGTAATAGATAATAAATGGTTCAGACACACCTGATTCACTGCAGAAATGAGAAATTCACCTGATAGGGTTGATGTAGAAGTAGTGATGATAAACGTATTAGATACAAGGACTCGGAACAAGATGCACGATTGACAAGTCACCTGACTGACACGACGAAAGTTACTTCCGTCGTGTCAGGTGACTTGTCAATCGTGCATCTTGTTCCGAGTCCTTGTATCTAATACGTTTATCATCACTACTTCTACATCAACCCTATCAGGTGAATTTCTCGTTTCTGCAGTGAATAGGTGTGTCTGAACCATTTATTATATCATTATCATTACTATTACAGAAACACTGACGGTATGGAGTCCAGAAAGACCTCCTCCTTCTAGACCCTCGGTATCCCTACCAAGATCACTCGTGGTACTATTGAAATCTCGGCTGAGGTCCAGGTCGTTACTGCCGCCAGTAGCCATTACAGTGTTGGCCCATCCGAGGCTAATACTCTCCTCAATATGTTGAACATCTCACCGTTCACATACAGTATGACTGCCGTCCAGACCTTCGACTCTGGAAATGTGTTCTCTCCCGAAGTTCTTGACATTGACGAGAAGGTGCTCATTGACCACTTCTTGTCCGGTATCCAGACCATTGCTGCCATCTCACTTGCCCTCAACTACCCCACCGTCGTCTTGGTTGCGCACTCTGAATCCCTTGTCATGGTCAATTCATACAAGAACCTCATTGCTTTGTGCTTGTCCACCGACTACATCTTCGAGGGTGTCCAGAAGGTTAGCTCAAATTTGATTCATTATATTTAATCGTGTCGAGCAATGAAGCTAATTCTTCTTGCAGGCAAAGGATTACTTGGAGAACCCTGAAGCATTTGCTGCTGTTGCTGCACCTGCTGCTATGGAAGTTGAGGCTGAGGAGAAGGCCGAAGAGAAGGAGGAGTCTGATGATGACATGGTAAGTTGCTCTTGGTTTGCACAAATCTTACGCGCTGGTCTACAGGGTTTCAGTCTCTTCGACTAGATTACGCATCATGCCATGTTATGTACTGTCATGTTATTATGTACTGTCACATATCTACATATTGTAATATAATAAGAACAGAGAGATTTACAATTGCAGTTGGGGAGAGACAGACAGCACCAAGAAAAGACCATGAGTTCATTAATTTCCTTCAAACAAAAACTGCTGTGCTATTATTTATTATCTATTATCCTACATCCAACTGAGTCATTCGTCCATACATGAAAAGTGTTATGCAAGTATACATCTACATCCTTTTACATGAAATGCATCTTCTTGGCCAAATACGTGTGTGCATACATTATAGTATAATATATTATTTGAAGTCTATGACAGGTTACACATAATCATTCTGTAATAACTATTAGTATCATCTAATAATGCGCATGCAAGCTGATAAGACTCACTCGTGTTTGTACCTCTCTACCTAGGAAGACCTCAAACTCTTCGCATGGAGGAACATATCCGTGTCAACAAGATCAACAAGGAAAAAATCACCATTGTTATCATAATCTGTCACCAGTAAAGCACCGCGAACAATAGATTGTAAGGAAATAAATTCCGTTCGGAAATCCTGAAATGCGGGGTTTGATGTGTTGCCTTCCTCCACTGCAGCGAGAGTGACAGGAATTTGAGGAGCGCCGATGTGGAGATGGCCCAAAAACGGCTGATCATCTAGCGTATCGTTGTCTTCGAGTTCTCCCTGTGACATCGTGCGTTTGCACCGATCTTCATCGAGGTGGGAAATACGACTGCGGACCAATTCAGAAACTACACTGATATGATCAAGCTTGAGGACTTGTATAGTAATATGTTAGTATCGCAAGCAGTTTGAATTAAAGGACAGTGTACCTGATTGGCAACATCTTTACGATTCATTTGACACAAGTATGCTCGCTTCAATGGTCCATGTTGCTTCTTGTTCGGTCGAGTACTGAAGTTGCGTGCTGCTCCTTTCGCACGGATGTCAGGGAAAGCATGTGTCAGGGCATGCACCTTCGGAAAATTCCAGTTCTTGGTTAAATCTTCACCCTGGATGTCAATATATGCCTGAAAATGTATTAAGATATAGCTGAAAGTTAAAGGAAACATGATATATAGTTACATGTAGGTGCGTTTCGAACACTAGAAGCTCCGCTTCTCCAGCAGCAAGTGTGGCTTCAGTGTGCACATCGAGCGCTATGTACATGGTCAGTTGTAGGTAGCTGGCTATACACTGCAACAGCGCATAGCCAACAGTATCTTCATTACGTGTCAATACGTTTTGTGCTGCATACAGCATTTGCTAGAGTGCAGGATGTTAGAAGGTTGATTGAAACATAACAGCGAATAATAGTGCTCACCTTAGTGATATCCCTAAGTTTGTTGCCATCACTAAACAATATCTTCATGACAGACTTGAAATGGTTCAAATTACGCCATCGCGGAAATGTGTCGAACCTGCAGAGTCTTGGTACAGATATAATGCACCAAGCAATGACAAAACGTACTGTTCATCAATCTTCGCCTCAGCTTCACGACCGAGAGCCTTCACACGGATTTTGAGCTCCTCAAAAAAGTGGGTGCCCCAGTGACCGATATCATTGACATGTAAGGGATCAAACGAGAGCGTCTCGTGAGGATTAGAGTTCTCAACTTCCCAGAGCGCATTCTGACAGTAGTATTAACTAAGATAATAGCTTATGAGAACAATTAAAATACGAACCGCAATAGGACGTAAGCCGTGTGCCTTCAGTACTGCTTCTCCAGCAACACGGTCCCTTGAATACAACTCTAAGAAAGCTTTCGCATCCTCGATGGTTCGAGTAGGATACACTGTGCTGAGATCGGAAAGTTTGGTTGAGGGAACAAGACAGATAGGGCAGGGACAATTTGAATGTAGCCCGCGTATTAGCACCATAATACATCTGTCAAGACATGAGCTATCAAAACATAATGTAAGCCTCGAGAATACTACATACTGTTCTTCGTAATCTGCAGATAGAAGTAGAATTAGTGGGTATAACCACCGCATGACAGCATCGAAGCATATATGTGCGAAACCTGTTTTGGAGTACAGGATGATGGACTCCAACAACTTGATGAACGCCGCATGCCAGACAACACATTTGAGATTCGTGTAGCTGAGCTTGCCATCCTCGCTAGAATCTGTAGGAACCTTGTGCATGTCAATACAAAGGACGATGAGTATCTACTGTTAGTACTCGAACACGTACAATTGGTAGCCAGCTGACCACACGGCCTCCTCCAATTCCATCGCCATTTCTTATGTGAACAGGAAGATTCGCACAACAGGCGATTACTGGGTATGCCTTCACATGTCCAGACGAGGTTAAATGGGTTTTGTCAGCGTAGAGGATGAAAGCAAACGGAACACCGTTGTTTGGCAATGATGACTACAATGAATTGAGTACAGATATGATATATTTATTAGCAGCACAATACAAAGCACAAATACATGATAATGCATACTTGAATTCACCACCAGCGATCTGCCGTCCAAGGCTCATGAATAAACCGTTTGAAATTGGTACCATTATGTTTGTACAGACGCTGCACATCCCATATAAAGTGTGGTGCCAGTGACGGATCTTGCAACAAGTCCAATGCCCAATCCCACAGCAGCCGTGTATGTACGTCGAATTCGAGTTCCTCTTTCTTGTATGGGACAGAGATGACGTGCTTCTCGAACTGTACAATAGATTATACCTAAATACTCAGTAACACGACAGATAAGTTTGGAGATAGCTTATGGGCGTCATCTGAGTGGCTGCTCGATCCCAGGCTTTCGACACTTCAGCATGAGATTTGAATGTAAACTTTGCGTGACCCTCAGCGATCTGCCATATCAACGCCAGCATCTTGTCGGTTTGGTCCTTATTGAGTGCTGCTTGGTGTGCGAGCTCTGCAAACTCAAAGTCCACACGGCACGTAAAAGGTTGCCACGGTTCATTGTTGACGATGGGCAGGGACCTAGCCTCTGCCTCAATGGAGTGTCCAAAGGCAGAGAAGGTCTCAATGGCTGGGGCGCGTCCGCTGTTTGGGTGATACTCGGTTTTGAACGTATCACAAGTAATAGGGACTGTGGCCGCGGCCGCAGTCCCTATTATACCTGTTGACATAATACTCGTGTCCGAGCCCGATCCTAATAAATAAAACATGGTTAGAAACCAAACGTGCAAGAGAAATATATGTACGTAGCCGTGAGTCTCCCCCAATGCTCATGACATCGTCAAAATTGCCATGCTCCACATCATCGTGGGATCCCAATACATTGTCGGCACCTTCGACATTTGTTGTGTCACTGACGTGTTGATCATCCGCCGATTGTGAAGGTACATTGATATTACAAGTTGCAGCTGCTTGATGTCCCTTTCGGAGGCGCTGTCGATCCTTACGATGCTCTGATCATTGCAATATAGAAATTTATGTGCGACATTTAAATTAGACAATAAGTATCAAACGAATTTATTGGCATGACATACCTTTCTTTTGAGCCTCGACTACATGAGCCGCAATCTCAGCAAACTCTTTATTGCGCCGTTTCTTCTCCCGCTTCCGCGAACAGCTCCCCTCATGCGACTTGATACCACGAGTAGAGAAAGGCTCATTACAAAACTTACATTGCACTTGTGCAGATGATGTTGAGGACCGTATATATGCACGTCTGTTGGTATATGACGGTCCAGACATCTAGAATACAGGATGGAACAACAGTCAGAGACGCAGATAGTGGTTATTATCGATGGCAGTTGTATCGGAGTAGTAATAATAGGCGTGATGACTGTAACAGTCCATTATTAAGATTTCCAAGCCCCTTGAAACTTTGTCAGCTTGCCTTGGAATTCATATGGCACCTTGCGAGCCACTGCCTGACGACTCGGTCCGACTTGCAACTCGGATGCAATACGGTTGGCAGGCATCACAATTCGGTCTAAATATAGCAGCCTTGCAAGGACCCTTTAGAAATTTCCGACATAGGTAAATGTTTGGCATCAATTCAGATCATAAAGAAGATCATATACCAAGTCCAAGACCTCCACCTACTCCACCCATGTAGTAGGTGCCATTACTTTCCTCATGATATGACAACTAATTATGGTCCTCCAGGAGTAGTACTGCACTGAGATCTTCCTCTATGTCGCCAAGTTCATTAATGTGATACGGTATCTCATCATGAACCTGCAGCATATCAAGCAAGCACAGATAAACTTTCCAGACAGTGTGTCTTGTAACTAATGGACACCCTAGTTCATCATAATAGCGCTGGATACAGTTACTGAAAGGCTATAGAACCAGATTAAAGACAACATGAGATGGTTTGCTGTAGATGTTGCACAAATGCTCCAGTGCTTTGTGTTCCACATTAATCTGTTAAAAAAAGTCCTATCATACCAGACAATGATAGCATATAAGATGTTACTTACTTTGAAGTCCAACACACCAAAATTCTCTGCTGACTGGTATATGAGGTTTGGCATGCTACGAGGAAGAACTTTGTTTTGGTCTCACCTTTTAGCAGTGTTATTGAGTTGGTCCTAGTATATATCTAATTCTCGCTGTAACCAACCAAGGTATTAACACCCATCAAAACAGCATCCTAATATTAAAATCCCAACCCAGTATCAGTGTGAGATGAATAATAGAACAAAATAGACATACAGCTAGAGAGTGTTATTGGTATCATACCAGCCTGACAGGACACCATGGTCCAAAAGTACTTTGAATCCTAGTGTGAAATGGTGTTGCTTATGACCATGTAATCTCAGACATTATATTTTTCTTACTCTGCATCCAGCAGTGCTACAGGGTACCCTGTAGGGCAGGATCATACCATTGGCAGAGCATGGTATGAGTGTTGGCAAATCTGAAATTTTTGGATCCAGGATTGCTCTGAGTTACCATAGGTATTTTTTTTGGTCTAGTTTCTGTCCATTTGGGGTGTGCTACTCTATGTAGGACATTGCTATCTAGGAAAGAGGGACACCTGTGTCCTCCACCGCATCTCGGATTCTGCAAATGCTCCGGTGTTTCCATCTGTCCTCCATTCCTGCCGGCAGTTTTAGACACACAAATCTTTTTACTCCATGGGCCAGTGTAATATAGGGTATTTGGTATTGTGTCGCTGGTGTGTGTTGGTGGATGTGACATGTACTCAGAGCACCTAAGCATTCGTGTATGAGGGGATTTTAGGGAGAGTGGAAGTGAAGGTAATAGTAGGATGAGTTGGAGTCATTGCTGCTGGCGCTGGGGATGAAGTGGAGTACACTTGATGGCGGTGGCACAGTCACGATTCTTTTCCATACTGTGATCTCTCTATGAATTCAAGCCTCTATGATCCTATTTCATCCTCCTTCTTTTAACCAAATTCTAGTTGGACCTATGGTCAGGTCCGATTTCCCTTTGACAGTGAGCAGATAAATATTATAATAAATATGTGTTGGGCATAGGTTGTGGCTTGCAGTATGATTTTCTAATGTTTAAATTATATGATCATTACTTTTCTTTTCAAAATGAGGGAGGGACATCACCAAAAGTGGGCTTCAATCTGCCAGAGCTATTTATGAAATTGATGAGCGGGTTGACGGCCTTGGCATTACTTAGTAGGTAGGAAATGGAGGTAGCACTGCATTTGAGGATGTTGGTGAGTAGGACATATTGCGGGCAGTCCAGTAGAAAGTGCTTAACGGTGTAGAGACTGACATCTCTGTGGCCTCATAAGAGGTTTAATTTCCGATGCATGTTGAAATGCTAGTCATTACCCAAATCATTCCATATCATATGCGACTCAATATGCACCAAACCCAAAAACATTGGACATTGGACATTGGACTATTGGACTTTGCATCAGGTTTTGCATTGGCCTATCAGATATCGTGCGCACTTGTCCTACCTATGTCCAGTCTCATTGGGCTATCCCCACTAGGTGCATAGTTACTTGTTTTCACATCCCTGACATTGTCGACCAAGTTATTACATGTATTCCCATAGTCCACAGTACATCATGTCTTATTACATAGGACATTAGGTCCGAAAATATTGCACTACTACTTTCACCTATAGGGTTCCGGATTTTTACGTATCTACATAAATATTGGACTCCCCATAGCATCATCATCATCCAAGTAGAGGAGAGTCATTCTCTGATGCTTAGGGGTCAAACCTGATATTTTGTAGTTCTTAGTTGACATTGCAATGTAGGAATAACAACACAGAATGGTGCTATACAAAGATGGCTCCAAACTGATATCTTTATGTTGTGGTGTAGAGACTTGTGCCTCTCATTGTGTGATATGGCAGTTTTCACTAGGGAGTACATGGCACGAACTTGTAGCATCACTCTGCATGCTATCCGCAGCTATTCCTATATGAGGCGCAGCTTTCCCATGCAACATGCACGTGCACATTCCTGTGCTTCATGATGTATATGTGTGCGCGCTTTCCTGCGCTTGAGCGCCCTATAGCGCCAGCCATCCAGAAGCATCCATCCACTGTCCACCAAGCTCTCTAGTGCGTATATTTCCATTTCTCTTATTTGCATATCATTCCACCTTTATTTTTATCATGGACCCTTACTTACATATATCTTTACATACCTTACTCAGTAGCACTTTGGCTCTGCATGACAGTGCTTAGACACAATATATAAGCGCCAGTAGTACATACCAGAAGGTAGTTTAGCAACCCCCATGTTCATACCACACAACTCAGCTTAGTTGGAATCCCTCCCTAGAAAGTAGCACTTACATCTCTTATCTCTATATACTCGTGCACACTTTCCCGCACCTTCGCGCCTCGTGCGCGCCTGCGCTTTCCCGCGCTTCACATCAGCCAACCAGTAGCGCCTACTACTAGATCTTTGCTGCACTCGCTTCCCCTTTAGGGTTGAACGCACTTGTCATATCAAGTATAGCAGACTAGGCAACTCGCGACCTCACAACATTTATAGATACAGTCAGGAGCCTTGTTTGTGCCTTGCTGTATTGTTGAACCTTCATTGGGTTTGGGTTTGGGGTATTGGAAACTAATAGTAACACGATAGCAAGCATCAGGAAAGCGAGAGGTGTACGCAATAATAACAATGACGGATACAGTGTCTTAATAACCGAGGGTCTTATATAAAGTGTGTAAGAATGTAATGACACCACAATTACACTTGGATAAGACTTCTTGCCAGTCCTCGATTAACATGGTCTATGACTTTTCTTCTTTCATGGTAGATAACGTGTGAGTTCTTGGGAGGCTTGCTAAACCAATCAGGTGATCAACTTAGCCAGAGCTTTTTATGTGTACCTCCAATTGCTTTGTCTAGGATTTGCTACCTAGATTCAGAACTGTGGTCTAAAGTACAAATAACTTTGCCTAGATTGCACGTTGAAGGTACAACAATTCAGAGAGTGAGTCTGAACAATGTTGGGTCTTGCAGAACCTAGCTGCTATTCGACCCTAAAGGGTTTCTGGACCAGGCTCAAGGCTCAGAGGAGAGGAAATATCATGAAAAACTGCTTCGTACTCTGACTCCTACTGGTAACTGGTGAAAAGATAACTTGCTTATGTAAGCTACAAAGGTGCCAACATAAGGTAAGGTAAAAACAGTCTCTACAAGCCCAGCCAGAAATGAATCCCTACAACGTTCTAGACACTAAAATGAACTGGGTAGATTTGACCAAGGCACGAGTTGGTCAAATAGGCACGAATAGTAGTAGAGACAAAGGGGTCTCTGAAATATCACGTTGACCAAAGACTGGTTGGTCAAATAGGCACAAATAGTACGGGTGAGACAACGGTCTCAAGAACAATCACGTTGACCAAGGCACGAGTTGGTCAAATAAACAGTAAAACAGGAGAGACAACGGTCTCTTAAAATCACGTGGACCAAAGACTGGTTGGTCAAATAAACAGTAACGTAAGCTTCTTATCGTAAGAAACTTGTATTCTCAAGGGATATGTTTCCCTGCACTTGTTCTGCTACAAGTGGGAGATCTTGACAAGTGAGATGTCTTGTTCAACTGAGGGGTTTCTCTGAGGAGGGATCTCTATTTTTTGGGGGGGAGAATGGGCTCTCCTTATATACATTTTGTGTGGGAAAGTAATGTAGGTTCACAAGCAATAAAATAAAGAGAGAACCAATCAGAATATTGGGTGAAACCCAATAAAAGATGGAGCAATGACATCAGAGATGACATCATAGTGAAGCTAGAACATTCTAGGGCCTATGACATCATTATGACTTCATACATTACATCATAATTTCCAACAGAATCATCTAGAACTTTCTGTGGAGTTATATGACATCATACTCAGAAATAATATTTTCTGGAGTATCTGGTAGGTCATAGCATCCTAAATAAAAGAAAATAAAAGAACAATGATACAAATACAATATGCAAGACACGGGCTTTTTAGATAGGTTTTTGTGAGGCTTTGAGCTTTTCTCAATGGTTTTCTCTAGCCAAAGTGAATAAGCCAAAGGTAAGGCAATACCTTAACCTTCATTTTACTTCACATATCAGCTAGGTCATTCTGTGATTCCCATTTCACATATGACTTTTTCTTCTTCTTCCATATAAAACTTGAAATATAGGACCGAGGTTTGATACCAAGGTATGGGGTGACTAGTCTGAGGACTGTGCTAACAGACATAATATTTTTGGGGTTATTCCTAGTAGTAGTTATGTCCATGCATGATTCCCGTATCATGCAGGACATCCACGGGGCAGTGAAATCACAACTGTCCCCAGTTGTGTGCTTAGTTGCAATAGTAGTGATGATGTGTGTCATGAATATGATGATGGAGTTGTAGTAATAACTCCCGAGTGGATATGCTATGGTTTCCAATTTTGTAGCGAGGATGGAATTGATTTGTGCTCTTTGGTTTGTAGTAGTCTCCATGATTGTGCAATCATATTTCTCATGTGATGCATTCTCGATAGATAGTGTTGTCACAGTGGTCTCTTTTGTTTGGGAGGGTTGGGTTGGGTTATATGAGTCAATCACTTTGTGAGATTGGCTCATCTTCACTGGAAGTATTGGCACTTGGTTGTGACAGTATTTCGTCTTCATCCTCAAGGGGGTCTGCTAGTGATGGTAGTATTGATAGATCTCTGGAGATATATGGTACAAGTCTAAATGCAGCTACACCACATTTAGATAAGACACCATTCATTTCTCTCAGAACATATGAACCTCCCTTAGTTTGTCTTTCTACAACAAAAGGACCAAGATAGCGTGGTTTTGTTTTTCGGTTGAGTTCTTTTTCAACTCTAGTGTTTTGAACAAGGACTAAATCTCCTTTTTCAAAACTAGTGCGATGCATTCGTAGACGGAATTTGTGTTCAAATTGAGCTTTGGATTTGAATCGTGCCTTCTTCAAAGTTTGTGCAGCGTGATCCAAATCTTCTTGTCTCCTTTCGATCTGCTGGATACGTAGGGATAGGAATTCTGCTGTGTCCATATTAGCATAGAATCCTTCTACCATGAAAGTAGCTTCTGTCAAGTCAAATGGTAGAATGGGATGGACTCCATATAACAAATAGAAGGGTGACCATCCAGTGACACGACTGGTGGTTATGTTCTCTGCAAACAAGGCCTGTCGAACCTTTTCAGGCCATTTTGTAATATTCTTTTTACAACTTTTTACAATAGCTTCTCTGATATTGAAATGTCCACACTCAACAACTCCATTTGCTTGGGAATTGTAGGGTGAAATTTTCACTTGGGGAATATCAATTTGCATGAGCAGTTGCTCAAATGCTCCTTTAACTTCTGGTCCATTGTCAGTCACAACTTGACCAATGGCTCCATATCTGCAATACAAATCCTCCCAGAAAAACTTGGCCATAGCTTTGGCTGATGGGGATCGTAAAGCTCTTCCTTCAACATAACGGGATAGATTGTCTCTAGCAATCACAAGATTTTTGTGGCCTGCAGCTGAAGGCATCTTCATAATATCCACATAAATCTTTATGAATATAGTCGTGGGGGTAGAAACAGTGATGGGGATATGCATCTTCTTGACACTGTATACTTGGCAGTCATGACAAGATTGCACATGGTGTTTAACATCGGTGTACAAATGAGGCCAATAAAATCGGTAGTGTATGGTCTCAAAAGTTGCTTGAACTCCTTTATGTCCTAGTTCTTCATGAGCAGTATGAAAAATTGAAGCTCTTTTGCCAGCTTCAAATACCACAAGTAGAGGTGGTCTGCCAACTAATCTCTTGAACATTTGGTCCCCTCGGACAAAAAACTGTGTTGCCCTATTAATGAACTTTCTTCGCTGGGCTGTCCAATCAAAATGGGGTGCTTCAAATGTGCTGAGGAATTTGTATATATTCCTCAAAGTCTTTTCTTGAGTAGTGGTTGCAGCTAGGATAGATGGTAGGGTAGTTGGTTCATAGGAATTTTCAGTGTAGGAAGGGGATAGTGAATGGCGTCGATAGTGTTCCTGAGAGATTCCAGTAAACAGGGCTATATCATCAAGCCAAGAATCCTCATCAGGTAGTATTTTTTCATCATCTGCCAAAGGTCTCCTTGATAGTGCATCAGGTCCTTTGAATCGTGTGGCAGGTACATGAACAAGAGTGAAGTCAAATAGAAGTATTCCTTGAATCCAATGGTTTATGGTAGTGTTGGGTTGTAAATCAGGTTCATTTAGCATTCCTTTTATATACTTAGCATCGACTTCCACAATAAGGGTCTGCATGCCAATAATGTGAAGTCTGAAATGCCTAAGTGCTCGAAAAAGTCCATAGAGTTCTAGTTTTGGCTGGGAATACCTTGATTCAGTGTCTCCCATAGGTAAGGATCCATAACGTGCTGGTCTTCTTCTTCCTTCATTGTCCATTTGTGACAATATAATTCCTACAGCCATAAAACTAGAGTCAACTGATAGAATCACGGGGTTTGCTGAAGTATAGTCAATACTTCGCATTGCAGGGGCAGTACAAATTCTTTCTTTCAACGTCTCAAATGCTCTGTCTTGTTCTTCTCCCCAAACAAAGGGTTCATCTTTTCTCCATAGTCGGGTAATAGGTTTTGCTAGTTCTGAAAAACCTAGAATCCATATGCGAACTGTTCCACAAAGGCCCATGAAGCCTCTTGCTTCTTTGATAGTGGTAGGAATAGGCCAATTGAGGATTTTGGAAACTTTTTCCGTGTCTGGTAATCTTCCTTCTGGTGTACATCTTTGTCCGACTATTAGGACATCTGGCAAACATAGCTGAATTTTAGTTGCAGAGAAAGTAGCTCCAACATCTTTAATGCGGTGCATTATCCTATGCACATCAACAGCATGTTCCCAAATAAATCTTCTGATCCCAGGGTTTTCTTTTAACACCTCTGGGTTTCCTTCATCGTCAGGGTAGATAGACTTAGGTCCTTTGACTGGTAAGTCATCAATAAAAACATTTGCCACATGGGGAATTTCATCTTGTAAAATGAAACTGGTGCACTTCTGAAATTCTGCAGGTGCATTCATATATCCCATTGGTAATGCAGTCAACCGAAGCAATCCTAAGGGTGTAAGGAAAGCTGTCAAATCTCTACTGTCTGGGTGCATTTTTCTTGCATCGAATACCCAGAAGAGGTCAAATGCTGTGTAGCATTGCCAGCCTGCAAATGATTCTACGAAATCATCTACAATCAGAATAAGACCAGCATCTCGAATAGAAATTTTGTTAAGCGGTTGTAAGTCGTGGACTAATCAGAGTTTTCCGTTCTTCTTCAATACACAAAACCAGCGTGAACAATAGGCTGATTGACTTGGTTCATATACTCCTGCATTGATCTTGGTACGTAATAGATCAATGACTTTTTCTCTGATACCGGGTGGAATAGGGATATTTTTGTATTCCCAAGGCACATGGGGAATAGTAGGGATAATGTATGGTGAAAAGTATGATTCCTTGAGGATTCCTTGGTCGGTTTCCTCAAATGCTAGTGCATCTTGATTCAGGTGCATAATGTGTTGGAAAAGTTTGACCTCCTCAGGCCAAAGAAATCCAGTAGAGTTGAAATTAAGACTTTCCATTCATTCAATAGTAAGTCTTCCATCTGGGATAAAGTCGGGTGATGGGGTGTCAAGGGAATCATAGTTTCTAGTGGATTGTGTGGAAATTGTCTCAAGACCCGGGCGTCTTGGGGAAAAGTTCCAGAAACGGGCTTGACCTTCTTGTCAACTCGTTTATACATAGTAAGAATTGGGTTGTAGGTTGGGTCAGAAAGGGTTGATGCTTGATAGCTGAGATACAAGTCATCATCATCATAGTCCAGAAAATCATCATCAATTTCCTTGTCTGAACTAGGTGGTTCCCAATCAGAATCTTCAGTTATGTCATCAAATAGCTCTTCAAAGCATGTTTGATGGTCTTCTTCTATAGCAAGATTCAAACAATACTTGTCAATTGTTTGATCATTGCCTAAGTCCTCAGGAAAAACAAGCAAAGGTTCTTGACCAGATGTCTCAGTGAAGTTTTCACTATAGAAAGTTAGACAAAATAAGTCTTGACTTGAATTCATTCCTGACTCAGGCTGAACACAAGGATAATCATATGTAGCATTTTGAACTATGCTAACACATGCTACCATCCATGACAATGGTAGTAGTAGGGGAAAGTGTGTTCTAGGTTCTCGAACCTGGAACTTTTGAGGTACAAATACACAAAGGCACAGGCCAATAATAGCACAAACATAAGCAAACTCAAAACTAAAAATAGCAAAATAGAAAAAACAGGTGGAAACACAATACAAATACAAGGGTGTACAAACAGTAGCACAAATGAAAAAGAAGTGAAGCTCAAAGCTAAAAATACATGTAAGAGAATATGAGACAATTTTTTTGTGACTTTTGAATAGCAAAAATCGAGAGAGACAAACACAATAGGACAATGAATAGAAATACGAACAAATAAAATCAAACTCGATACAAATACAAGGGCTGTGTCTAGATGATGACGTCAGTGTACATCTGTCATAGACACTCTGAGGGTTCACCTCGTTGTTAAGCCAAAAAGAATATGTGGGACGCGTCTGGTCCCTGTTCATCATCATCGCTATCAGAGTCTTTGTCGAGCTCGTCATCATCAAAGCAGATGGTAAAATGAAGCTGTGATGTATCAGCAAGAGTCGAAGACCGAAAAGGATGATATGCAACCATGAATAGACAAACTCGTTGTATCCCTAGTGCACGATCTCGAGCACGAGCGAATGAAATTACTTGACTCTCACTGTGTCCATCGAGTATTCCTTCCTGGACTAGAGCATGCACGATGTCAGGATCAGGATATGGCATCAATAGAGCTGCTTCGACGGAAGTTGCAAGTCTATGCTCTCCGTGGAATTCAGCTACAGCTGCAAGTGAGTGCAAATAATCAGTCTCGTCGAGAGTAAAAAATGGATTGATAGGGGGATGTTTAGCTTGGTAGTGTGTTGGTGGTATGTGGGTGCCAATGCGTTGATTGGGATCACATGCGAGGACTCCAGGACATCGAAGTCCTTCTTCTAACATGCGAGACGAAATATTGTCTTCGAGCATTGCAATGAGGGCACGACTATGAACACGATGATCGAGAAGGTCCTGTGCACGATCCTCCCAGTCTCATTCGGATCTTGGTCCTGCAGAAGGGAAGGATTCAGTGACCTTGTTGATGAAAGGGTGTGTTGACAATGTTCTCGAGTCCCAATCTAAGGCACAAAGGTTGTCTTGACATTCAGTATAGTCTTGATAAGCGTTGGCGACTTTGTCTAGCATAGGAGTGTGATGGTCCGACGTGGTAGGTAAGTCTGTCACAAAATAGTCCAAAAGATACTGGTGGTTGTCAGGTACTGGTAGGATAGTAGTAGTGCGAGTCGCGTTCACGTCCGCGTGATGCGAAACATAACGTGGAGGAGGACTAGAGTGAATAGACTTAGTGGGGGCTTCCAATACACGGACTTGGTTGATAAACGGTACTTGGTGTGGGCCATCAGGAATAGTAGTGACATGGACGACACGACGCGCATCAATCCAAAGTTCATTGCTAGGCGAGTCTACCGAAGTGTGGACATGTGTTTCGTTATAAGGTTGGGGGATAGGATGGTCTGATATAGCTGATGTAGATAGTGGGGATACTGGACGCCATGCAGCTTCACTAAAATGGGGAGTAGGAATTGGAAGCGGCGTGAAAGGATTAGGGAAGCTCGTAGTAGCGGTACCAGTATTTAATATAGTACTGGTGGGATAGGTAGTATGCATAGGGGTTAGGATGTTAAGCACTGTAAAAACTTGAGGCAGCGGCTTCAGAAGGACATTAAGCACTGATAAAACTTGAGGCGGCGGCTCGCAGTCCATAGCGGAAGCGTTGAGAGCTGAATGGGGTGGGGAGCTCGTCAACAAAGGGCCTTTCTGTCGCCTCTTGCAGTATCTTTGCCCCAATCTTTCTGATAGTGCCATTCCTCACCGTACAAAAACCCGTGAGGAGATCCTCAAAAGAGCCAGACTTGCTGTCGAGACAATCAAGGACAAGCTCGTGCACATTGACAGCAAAATATCGATGATGTTTGACTCCTGGACATCTCTCATAGGCGACCCTTTCTTATCAGTCACAGCTCATTATATCGATGCTCCCGCTGACAAGCCCCAAGAGTGGGAGCTGAAGTCTGATCAGCTTGCTTTCAGGTATATTGAAGGAAACCATAGTGGTGCCAACATTGGGCGCATTTTAATGGAGGTTATTGATGAGTACAGTGTTCGAAAAAAGGTGCATTTTTCTTCCTCATTTTAGATCACACCTCACGACATGAAATTTAGCTTGGTTGGTTCACTGCGGACAACACCACAAATAACGATACTGCTATCCAAGCAGTCGCAGATAAGATTGATCATCTGCAAGTGGTATCATAAAACTGATGACATGGACATGTACTTTGTCTGTCTCAGTGAGTTTTTTCTTTTAAATTCATCAGATGCATCTACTGATTCAAACTATATAGCTTTGGATCCTAACTACAAACTAGCATATGCAAAAGACAAATGGGATACACAGTACTTCAAGGATGGGATGGCCCACCTTGAAAACCTAGTAAGTGCTTATCTACCCTTATGCAAACTTGTTTGACTGACAACATTTTTTTAGTTTGATAAATATTCAAAGTCAATGCCAGTGGTTGCTTCTGATGTGACAAAGAATGCACCATGTGCATTGGTGCGTGAAGGTTCATATGGGCATAGTTGGATGTGCGATGCCATCAAATCATGCCTCACTACTGACGCCGCACACCAACACCCATGACAAGAGCTCACCAATTACCTTTGTGCTCCTCTGGAGGATGTCAAGAACCCAGTCACATGGTGGGGGGTGTGTTATATTTATTTACTTGTTTGTTTGCATGAGAGGCTAACAAAATTAAATATAGCATCACTCTTTGCAAATTTGGAGGTCTCAAATTTTGAATTGTGAGCTAACACCCATTCGTAGCCACCCCCCGATCTTTCCAGCATGTTCTTGAGGGTGTTGTGCATCTCATGAAAGGACTTGCCGATGGCCAGAAACACAGTGTCGTCGACAAATGCAAGGGTGTGCTCCTTCTTCTTATGGCCTATTGCGATATCTACTAATTCAGAATCATATATGATGTAAAGGATCATTGAAAGCAGGTCCCCTTGCCCGATGCCATTGGTTATGGGGATCCAATCCAAAAGGTGGCCATCAAATTTCAGTTGCATGCATCTGCCTGAGAGCAGGCATTCCGTGAGACTTACCAATGATTCTGGTGGCTTGTGGCTGCGCATATTGTGAAGCAAACAGTCAGTAACTGCATTTGGGAATGCTGCCTCAATATCTAAGAAAAGGATTGAAATGACTTTACCCTGACACCATGCATCTTTGATGGTTGCTTCGATAAGATGGAGTGAGTCAGTGGTAGAGCACCCTGGGTGTCCTCCAAAATGTGTACCAGGCAATAGGTTGTGGTGTTCCAACAGGTACATTATTTGGTCAGCCACTACTGCTGTCAAGAGCTTGCAAGTAGTGTTGAGTAGGGCAATCGGTCTGTAGGCCTTTGTCATGGAGTAGTCTGGCTTGCCCGGCTTGTGGAGGACGACTGTCATAAAGTCTCTCCATGGGTCATAATACATCTTGAGCATATAGACTGCTCTAAAGAGGGGAAGAAGGTAGGGTGTCATATCCCGCGTTCCGGACCCGGACCTATCACACATTCATCTCCGGACATCCGGACATCCGGATCCGACCTGCATCTATCTTCTGTGCCTTATCCCTTTGTATGTTCCTTCTTGAGTTAGACTTCCTCATTTTCCGTACCTCGTTTCATTTCCGGCTTTATTTTCCTATGTCTTCATCTCCGTCTTCATTTACTATTTTCTGATAGACTAGTGTTTGACTTTTCTATACCCTCCGTCCACAGCCTCGCATAGCTTCGGACTGCACTGACTGATTCTCCGTTAAGTCCTCCGTAGTATATAAACCCTGTAGAATCTTTGTACTTCCTTAGTTTGAATATTATCTTAGACTCTGCTCATTCCCTCCTCCATCTGACTTGAGTTCTCCTCTCGTCGTCCTCCGCTAGTCTTAGGATTGACTCCTATAGACTTGTCACCTCCGCCTCTACCTCTGGTAGTCCTCCGCTGTTTCCTTTCTAGTTCAGACATTGTCTGGATTAGTCTTATCACTTGTTCCCGAACGTCTGCCGGAATTCCTGTGCATTGGACATCAGACTCCAGACATCGTCCGACAACCTTCGGACATCATCCATTAGCCTTCGGAAGTTAGGGGCATGTACTCGGGTAAGGGGCACAGTGCACAAGCTGAAGCCAAGCCCTTCGGATCCGACCCTTGAGCACGTTCTTAACATAGGGGGTCAGTAGTGTAGCACAGCAGATGAATACTATGTTGCAGATACCGTCCAGACCTGGGGCCTTGTAGGGTCCTAGTTTCGAAATACTTTTCTTGACCTGTTTGTTTGTTATTGGTGCAGGTGTTGGAACAGCCTCTGGGTAAGTAAAGTCCGCTGGCACAGATGTGGCAATGGGAGGTGGAGGGAAGAACACTTGTGCTAGCGCAGCGCTCTTCTCCTCATTAGTCTCTGCAGTACTGCCCCTGATTTTCTTCAAAGTCGGGATTCAAGACATGCCACCATCCCCCACTGCGGCTGTGAGATAACTGTTAGCAACTGTTAAGAACGTGCTCAAAGGTCGGATCCGAAGGGCTTGGCTTCAGCTCGTGCGCTGCGCCCCTTACCCGAGTACATGCCCCTAACTTCCGAGGGCTGTCAAACGATGTCCGGAGTCTGATGTCCGATGCGCAGGAATTCCGGCGGACGTTCAGGAACAAAAGATAAGACTAACCCGGACGAAGTCCGAACTAGAAAGGAAACAGCGGAGGACTACCAGAGGTAGAGGTGGAGGTGACAAGTCTATAGGAATCGATCCTAAGACGAGCGGAGGTCGACGAGAGAGAAAACTCAAGCCGGACGGAGGAGGGAATGAGCAGAGTCTAAGATGATATTCGAACTAAGGATGTACATAGATTCTACAGGGTTTATATACTACTAAGGACTTATCGGAGAACAGAGACGCGCAGTCCGAAGCTATACAAAGCTGTGGACGGAGCGTATAGAAAAGTCAAACACTAGTCTATCGGAAAATAGTAAATGAACCCGGAGATTAGAACAGATGAAAATAAAGGCAGAAATGAAATGAGGTACGGAAAATGATATAGTCTAACTGGAGTAGGAACATACAAAGGGATAAGGCGCGGAAGTTAGACGTGGGTTGGATCTGGATGATAGAGAGAAGTCGGCCGGATCTGGAAGTCCGGAAATGATGTGTGTGTGATTGGTCCGGGTCCGGGTCTGGAACACGGGATATGACAGCAACCCATATATCATTACCTTTGATGTCTTCCAACCAATCGATCCAATGTTTCTTCTTCATTAGTTTGATCAATTCAGAGTATTGGTTTCATTTGATACAATGATCTTCATGGCAGGAGTGAAGAGGAGTGTTGTGAAAATGATATGACAAGTGACTTAGCTTCACAACTTTGTGTCTCATAACAGTTAAGTCGTGAGTCCACCACTGTTTAGAGTAGGGATTTGGCTTGGACGTGGGGACAACTTGCTTAACTAAATTTTGAATGGTGGTCATCAGATTAAGTGCCTCTCTCTGCAATTCCAGGTTGGTTATGAGTGGTTGGGTGTCAGGAATCTTCGTGAGTTCTGTTTCTAATCTATCGTTGAATGTTTCCCAGTCAACCTCGTGGTAGTTATGTTTTGTCTCCTTGGTGGCTTGAGGGACTGTGAGCTCTAAGATGCTCAGTATTGGGACATGGTCTGTGGCTGGCCCTTGTAATGCGGGGTTGGTGATACAGCTAATAAATAAGTCCCCTGTGTGGTTAGTATAGAAGATGTTATCCGGACATGACCATTTCTTGGTAGTAGACAGTTGCAGGGTAGTGTTAAGACTATGCACAAAGGGTAGGACTGATTCCAAGGGGCTTGGCTTCAGCTTGTGCGCTGTGCCCCTTACCCGAGTATGTGTCCTTAATTTCAGAATGAAGTCCGAAGGACTTCTGGAGGAGCATGAGAAAGTTCGGAAGGACATTTCAGACAAGTGTAAGAAACTTCTGGAAGAGTGCGGGAAAGTTCCAGAGGAACTTCTGGAAATTACAATAGAGTTTCGTCCTGACAGAAATATGTGTAATGGCTACTAAGGATTTATCCTGAGTAGAAGCAAACAGAGAAAAGGCTGCAGGGACAAAGTCTGAAGCAGAATAGGTCCAGAGGACCGCAGGAAAGTTCCAGAAACTTGGAGGAATGGAGGATTGGAGGAGCGAAGCTCCGGCCTAAGGAATTCCTCCCTAGGCCTGAGATAAATATTGACTAAGTCAGAGGACTAGAACTGATATGAGGACTTAGTGGAAGATCTAGTGCAAGGACTAATATGATATTCAGACTGAGGAAATACAGGAGTATCTACAGGAGTTTATATACTGGAGGCAAGTCTGTGCAGATCAGTAAGCAGAGGGCTATGTATGAGCATGTGGAAATGTATTAGTAAGTGAAATGGATCATAGGAAATGAACTTGGAGATGAAACTCATACAAGGATCAATAAGCAAAAGGGAAACAGAGATAACTGAGGACCGGAGACAGGTGATTACCATAAAGGGATGGGCACTGATTAAGGTTTGAGTTTGGATATGACAGATAGGTCTGATCTGGAGATCTGGAGAAGTGGATGTCAGATTAGATGTCTGGATATCAGATCCGTGAATTAGACAGATAGAGGAACTGAAGGTCTGGAGACATGGATAGGAGATCCAGAGGTCCAGAT